TACTACTCCCATCTTCAATCTTGGTGGCAGAGCCATCTTTTGTGGTTATATGACAGAGTTCCCTATTTCCTTGTTGGCTTTCAGTTCCTAGAGGCCACCTGCATTATTTGCCATGTGGCTCTTTTCCATTTTTAAACCAGCAATGGTACAGTGACTCTCCCTAATATATAGAATCTCAGTATTTCTCTTTATGACTCCTTCATGCAGATGCAAAGAAGCTGTTATTAGCTCAGGCCCACCTAGATGATCTCTTTTAAAGTCATATATCATAAGCTAATCAAAGAAATGATGCCCATTATATTCATATTGGATTAGCAAAATTAATATATAACAATTGTATATTTTTATCTTACTTTAAATACTTATAATTATGATTGTAAATCTATGTCTTGGATTTTGAAAATCACCTAGTAATAGTCATAAATTAACATCTTAGCCTTTCTTTCCATAATAGAGAATAAAATGACACATTTTCATGATTGGAGATAAAATAAATCACAAATAGGTTAGCATAAAGTGTAATATAAATAAAAATGACAATGATAACAACATAATAGCACTATACTTGTGAGATTCATCCATGTTGGTACATATTGCTCTAATCTACTCATTTTTCTTTCTGTACAGTACACCTTTGATTAAAACAGAATATAGTTGTCCATATCTTATTTATGAACATTTAAGATTTTTACAATGTTTTTGTTACAACTAATGCTAAAAAGAACATCTTTGTACATATCTTTCAGTATACACTTACCAAACTTGTCTAGTATTCATATTTAAGAAAGAAACATTTCCTTTACAAGTCTTTGGACATCAGTTCTGTTATTTTCCTCTTATTTCATGAGAAATTCCTTCTCAGTAATCTTTGCTGTATATTTCTCTTACTTTAAAAGCCTGGAGTGCTAGAAAGCTCAGTCTCAGTTTCCATTCCCTTCTTTTCAAACTGAATGCATAAATAATTTCATCATGCCCCATGGCTTTAAATGTTAATGACTTTTAAATATCTGCAGACACAGCTACCCAAGTATCTATTTGACAGCTCCCACCTGAATGTCTAATAGATATCACACACTAAACACACCCTCACTAAAATCTTCATTTTCACCTTAAATCCTGTCCTTCCCCAATCTTCTTCATGAGAGTTAATGAGATTGTCATTCACCTAAGTGCTCAGGCCAAAAATCTAAGCATTGTCTATATTCCACTGAATACTCTCCTCTCAAGTTGAACCTGCTCTATTTTCAAAATAAATTTGGCATGGATGAATTTTTAACATTTCCACCAGTGTCACCTTAATCCAAACATCATCCCTCCTGTTTGATGAATTTTGGCTTCCTCCTAAGCAATCTTGCTTCCTTTCTTCCCAGTTACCACACAACATCCATAGTGATCTTTTAAAAAAGTGAATCATGTCCATCCCCTAGTGTTTTGCAACGGTCACTGAAATCATTCTACTCTAATTTTTCCTATAATAAAATCACTTATAGGGCAGTTGATATCTATGTATACGAACACATAAAATTATACTTAAAAAAAACTCATACCATATTTGATTATGATACTACCTAATATTACATTTTCTCAGAACACAATAGGGTAGTAGCTAGTGGGAGCTTGCACTTTGTTTAGATAGCATGGGAAACCCGTGTATTTGAAAATTTGCCAGATATACTTTATAAAATGAGTTTATTCACATTTTATTTTACTTTAAATGTTTATTGTAATTACAATTTCTATGTAAAAGTCATCCTTAGCTGTCACCAGTTTCACGTTAAAAATTATTTATCATTATGACTTGAAATTGTATTAAAATAATCTTTCCTTGTTGTTTAAGGTGGGCCTTTTTTGAAGGACTACGTAACCATTCAAAGTATTGCAACTGCCTCCATTGTCACACTCTATTTTACAGACCTAGGTCGGCAAGTCAGTTGGACTACAGTAAGTATCAGTTTGAAATGCAATATACATATCCCATATTTTGATGTGAATAATGTGCTGACAGAGAGGACATTTTCTGTCAAATAAATTCATAGTGAAACATAATATTGTTCTGATGGTATTTTAAATTTTCCATTCTTACTATGGTGAGCGGCCAAAATTTCACTCAAGAATTGGAGCAATGGATATACATGGTTGAAATTAAGAAGATAAGTTCCTTTCAAATTTTCAATCTGTCTTATGATTGATGGCCTCATTTCTGCTTTCCTTATGCCTTGTCAGTTAAACGGTATTTTCTTTAACTTTTCCTTTTAAGAGCTTGGGGATAATGAAGATGGTTTTCTCATTGGAAAGAGGGGAGATAGAACATTCAATAAAAAATGTTCCAAGGAAGTGGGGAGGACGTTTTGAAAACAGAGTTAAATAGTAAGACTTTGAGTTGTGGGAAGTGGAGTGTTCTTTTCACTGTCTTGAAGGAGGGGCTTTCAAAGTGGTGGCAACTGAATCCAATGGCATTAGAAGAATGAAGACTACATTACAAGATACAGAGGACTAAGAAACAGAGAAAATACTTGACACTACTTCACAAATAATGAAGTATTCATGAGTAATGGAATAGATAGATGGAATAGCTTCAGTAGCAAGAGGAAATACTTGTGATATTTACTGACAGGCAGTAAAGGAGTTAATCTGAAAAACAATTTTAACACTGATATACAGAAATAGTGCAATCATTCTTCAATTAAATTAAACCTATCTTCTTGGTATTTCTCAGACTTGAAAGATTTTTTTCTGATTACATTCTACTTTATATTTGTTATGTGATTATACTTGTAATATTTTCTATTCAAAATGGCTTTCTTTTTGCCAGCATAGTGCTTTGTTTCCCTTCATAGTGCAACAATCAATTTTAAAATTATTACAATCAGAGGATAATTTATATGTCTTTATTTAATTCTCAAAAAGAAAAGTTCAAGTTTACATTCATTAATCAAAATGTCACACCTTTACTTTTCTAGCAATCTCTCCTTTAACATCTTCTTGTATTTAGATAATTACTTTTAGTGTGTTTCGTTAAATGGTCGCTTTAGTTTCCGAGATTTGTTGAGGCTTTGAGTACTAATTTGTTGCATTAAAAACTGAGTTTAGAATATTCTGAATCCTTGTGAGGTGAATTATAATGTTCATAAAACAACCTATTAATGCATGCATCCTGTAACCAAAAGGTTTAATACTTAAATGTGATACCTATAACCTCTGCTAAAAGAGGTTTGAGACAAGCAGATTTTGATCTTCAAAGGTTAAAATATTCACAGTCTTTGTCCACTTATGATGAAAAGGGAATTCTGTCTACAGAAGCTGTGTCAGAGTGAGCAGCATTAACTGAGTTCATTAGAAATTCCAGCTGTATCATTTGGATAAGCACTAAGGATAAAAAGTGCTAAGGTAGAATTCTATGACAATTGTACTAGAAAATTATAGCTTATTTGAAAGGAAAGTCATTTAGGTGACAAAGAAACCTCCAAAAATAGGCTGGATATTTTTAAATCAACACTATGGTTCACACACTCTTTTGCTCCAAATGAGTCAGTCCTATTAATGCCCAAAATACACACATTGCGTTGCAATCACACCCACTTTACATCAACTAAATTATACAATAAAAGGAATATTTTACCACACATAACATTCTTGAACATTTGTAAAATATTAAAATGTGCTCCTATAATAAAACCATTATCATGTTTTCTTTTTTTAAGAAAAAAATCTCTAATTTAGCAAAATCAAAATTAAGATTTTAATAATATTTTTCATCAAGTAAGAGTGCATTGTTACAGAATACTGAGAAAATTCTTGTCTCATGGAGCTTACTGAAAGACTTAGAAAAAAGGTTTACTAGAATAATATAGTTCCCATCATACAAATCCTCTTAACTAAAGATCTTATTCAGTTTTCACCACTTTTACATTCATTCGTGTATGTGTACAGTCCTATGCAATTTAGCTCTTGCATATATTAACATATCTACCAACAAAAATCATATACAGAATTGTTCATTCCCACAAAGGAACTCCCTCATGTGACCCTTCTATATTCACATCCTCTTTTTCTTGTCCTGGGGCAACCACCAATCTGTTTTTCATCTTTATATTTTTGTCACTTGTCGAATGCTATATAAACAGAATCAAAAAAATTTTTGAGATTGATGTTCATTTTTCTCTAAGTATAGTGCCCTTTCCATCCATCCTGGTTGTTGCTTCTTTTTATTGGTGAGTAGTACTCAGCTGGATGGATATAACAGAGTCTGTTTAATTATTCACCTATTGTCAAACATAGAGTGGTTTTCAGTATTTTGCTCTCTCTCCATCATGCTTGAATGACACAATGTCAATAGCATCTCAGATTGACCACTGCTGATGCTTGTCAGTATGTCTTTCAGAAACTAAGTGATTTTCAACTTTGGGTATAGACAGTAAAGAACTAAAGTGCTCTCTACTCAGAGTGATTTGGAAATATTAATATTATATAAATTATATAAATGTCATATAATTTATTTCCAGTGGAGTATGTATTAAATAAAAGTCTATAAATATGTTAATGAGGCCAATTTTTCCAACATTTAAATTATTTTTTTCACTTGTTAGGAAGCTCTTGTTTATTTTTTGTTAATAGTACTTAAAACTGTAACTTCTAAACACAAAATAAATAAAAAGAAAATAATTATAGGAGAAAAAAAGTTTGACAATTAAAATAGATAATTATAATAAAAATTATGACTATAAAAAACTATTAAAAACTTTACAATAAAAAAATCCAGTTGGATGGATGTAACAGTTTGTCTAATTATTCACCTATTGTCAAACACTGAGTGGTTTTCAGTATTGTGCTGTTACAAATAAAGCTATTACCTATCTGTGTGTAGGTGTTTGTTTGAACATAGGTTTTTATTTATCTGGGACAACAGTTGAGTTTAAAGAGCACCTTTTATATTCTACATCCAAGTCCCTTGTCTCATATGTGGTTTGCAAATATTTTCTCTGTTTTAACTTCTTTTCAGCCTTTTAGCAGGATTTTTATTGCTGTGCAAAAAGTTTTCAATTTTAATACAAATCTAATTTATCAATGTTTTCTTTTAAGGATTTTGCCCACACTATCATATGTAAGAAATCTTTGCTTAGTCCTAGGCCTGGGAGTTTTTCTTCTGATTTCTTCTAATAGTTTAATAGTTTTTTATTTTAAATTTTATCATAGGTTTTTAATTGTAAAAAATTATCTATTTTTTAATTGTCAAACAATATTTTCTTTTAATTTGCCTCATGTGTCTTATAATCCATTTTCTGCCTTTTTTCTTGCCCCATTTGGATTGTCATACTTTCTTTTCTAGTAGACTTTCTGTTCTTTTGGTAGCTAAATCCTTTTTCACTAACTCTAGTGATTACCCAAGATATCGCAATATGCAGCTTTAAAATACTGAACATCAATAAAATTGTTTAAGTTTACTAATGTGAAGATACTTCATAGATAGTTGAATGATTAAGATATTTGGGCTCCTGACTTTTCTATTATTATGGCATATTTTAATTTTCTGTATATATATGTGTGTGTGTATATATATGTATATATATATATATATAGCCAAAATCTACCACTATAATTTCATATGGCCAATCTTTATTTAGATTCACCCTTTTTATTGCAGTTTAGTTTTACCTTCTGATACTGAGCTGACATATGTAATCATTATCCTTCTTCCTGAAGAACATCTTTGGTGCTTTATTCTGGTTCTGTCTTTAGTGATTGCACTAAATTCTTGTTTATCTTAAAATCTATTTATTCAACTTTTATTCTTGAAGAATAATTTTGCAGAAAAAATTTCATGTTGGCAGTTATTTTTTATCTTTACTTCACAAAACTGCATTATTCTGTTTTTTGACTCCCACTGTTTGTTTATCAGGAATTTGATTATGGTATGCATAGTTATGATTGTGGTTTTATTTATCCTGCTGTGGGTTTATAGTGTTATCTGAGTCTACGGTTCATATATTTAATTTAAAAATTTAGTTACCATAATCTCTTCATCTTTTTATTTTCCATTATTCTCTTTGCATTCTCCTTCTGGGATTTATATTACATTTTCATATTTTTCTTTTCAGGCTTTCAAATATCTGCTTTATTCCTCAACGTTTAGTTTTCTTTGTACATTAAAAGATTGTTTTTTAAAAGTACATATTTTACAATTCTGTTTCATTAATCTTTAGTTCACCTGTTTTCAATGTCTACTGTTTTTTTTGGTTTTGGTCACAATATCTTCACTCTTTGTATACTTGCATACTTCTGACGTGGTGAAGGAAAATTGATGTGAAAAAATTGAAAGATAACTTAAGGCCTAGGAAGATGGTATCTTCTTTCAAAGATAATTTATCATTCTGCAGATGGACTAATAGCAATATTGAGTCCAGGTTAACTCAACTGAATCTATGATTGAAATGATTTCAGACTGAGTTTCAGTACCTATGATGATAGATCTACTTCTGTCTCATCTTTACTCCCAGACTGTAACTCTTCTAGGTTCTAATCCAAATCCTGGAGGTTTTATAAAGCCACCTCCATCTTCAAAAGTTTCCAAGCAATAATTTTTGTCTTTCCATTCTCAGGTACCCTCAGAAAATGTGGTCTTTTCATCTGTTACTAGGCTTCATTTACCAGGTCACTACACTGGAGCCCCATTTTAAACATCTCAACCTTCTAATTCTTCAATGACTCAGTAATTCTTTAGCTCCTGAAAAACATTTCAATCAATTTTTCTTGCTAGTCCCATTAGGATGGTTTGTTTGAATAATGTTGAATAGAATTCTCCATTATATGTTACTCATATAATGGTTAAATTTTTAAAATAGCCTTCTGGTATCATATTGCTTCCCATAGTACTCATTGAGTACAAAGTAAAATTACTATAGGGAGATGTTCTCATAATTTTACTTAATAGCTCTCCTATCTTTAGAAAGTTAAGGTTGGCACTACTTTATTTTTGTCAGTGATTTCCAGCAACTGTGAGACATACAATTTATTTTGTTTTTAACTGTCAATTGCAATTTTAGACAACATACAAAGCCAACACTACCTTAATAATGATAGGACTAAAAAAAATTGTTTTTAAACGGAGAATAAAATGTATTAAGGGCAGTCCAAGCACAAGAGTCCTAATCAATTCACAACAATTGTAGCAGCATGTTTCAATTTGTATTTTCTAAAATAGCTTATTGCCTTCTTCCTTTTCAATTTAGACATATACCAAGTTGAATATTCCTCAGAAGTTCCAAAAAATCCTAATTGCCTAGCTTGCTTAAGTAGAAATAGTGAATTTTACATTTAAAAGCAACTCATGACTGAAGCATTGTACTGTATACCAGAAATTGACACATTATTAACTGACTATACTTCAATAAAAAAATATATACACACAAAAAAATTTTTTAAAGCAACACATTAGTTTATACAGAGAACTTTCTAACAAAGGGAAAGCAAGGAAATAATTTGACATTGGAAATAAACTGAAATTTGAAAGCACAATATATCTTTAAAGTAATAAGAGAGCATATTTGCTTATTTTGAATATAGAATCTATACTAAACTTCTGGATTATAATGGAGTTTCTGGTCTTAATAGATTTGTTTGATTTGCTTGGGCTGTATACTGGCAAGTATATATTTGTGAGTTTATTTTGGCTTTAATTTTATTTTTACTCTCCATGTTTTTAGCCAAAGAATATCAGTTCCTGTTTCAGAAGTCTGTTTTACTACTATTTGTCTATCTGGTTTTTGTTTTCTTTTTATTCTAAAACTATTTTCAGATTACTTTCTATGTTTAATCAAAGTCTCTATTCCTTCCTTCTGTTTGCATCCAAATAGATATGTTGCTTGAAAGATGCACTGTCCAAAAGTTATATTTTATTTCCCTTCAGTACTTTTATGTCAGGATATTCCTTCATATTTTGGTACTCTTTTGACCCCCATGTTTCAGCACGAAAAATATTTGTGATAAGATGCTGGTTCTCCTGGAACATATTCCTGTAAGCTACCAGGTGTTCCCAATTTTTTAAGGGGATGATGGAGATAAGATTGTAGTTTAATTTCCTCTGATACAAAAAACCTCATATTTGTGATAGCATTTTTATTAACTCAAAGACTGACATTCAGTCCAGGTTAACTATTGTTTGCCATAGTTTTCATTCCTGATATATTACTACAGAATTTGCTGAAAATTGACTTGACTAGATCAGAGGCATTTAAATATTTTTAAACTTTTTTTAATAAAATAATCACTCTCCTAATTATTCTAGAGCATTAACTAGACTCTCATATCAGACACTCCTAAGTGGAAAATATCTTTTTATTTATATCTGAATAATTAGGCATGTTGTATGTCATAGATTAATGTATTCTCTCAGTAAAAAGGTTACCTTAATACTGAATTTATCAGATGTTGCATTGTTTTTCCTGTCACATAAAAGTCTTTCATGGCTCATGAGATAATATTGTTTTTAAAAAGTATAACTAAAGAAACTTACATATGTAAGTAGCTATTGATATGTGTGTGCATATATATATACACATATATAATTAAATATGCATGTGCATTATATCATATATTCTACCCAGATAGTTATACAAAATTCTCACCAGAGATAAGAGCATTAAATCAATATGCACACCTGCATATCTGAGCAGAACATGTACAGCTTCATGTTTCCCTCCTTAGAAAATGATGAAAATTGGCAAACATAAAGCAAAGTAGTAATGGCAGTTGGATTTATCATTGCCATGTCTGCATTCTTTCCCTTTTCTTTGAACCCTCATAGGGAAATTATTTTCCCTTCTCTGGCTGAAAATTTCAGAGAGTGACTTTCACCTGATTTTAGCATCAAAACAAAACCAAATAATGAACAGTTAGAAGATTCAGAAAACTATCACAAAACCAGTCAGTCAATTAATCTTTCTCCCATCACAAAGTCTCATTTCCAGACTTTCCAAATCTTATGATTGTCTCTCTATAGGTTGGATATCTCACTCCACATATCTGATTGGCCCTCAACTACAGAATTCAGAAGGCAGTCATTTAAACTACTTACTCAGACTCATTAGAATTAAGTCTAAAATTTCCAAAAGAGAGAAATAAATTATTTCAATTTGAATCATGGTCAAATCAATTGAGTTCAAGATGACATGTTCATAAAAAGATTAAAAGAAAAAAAAGAAAGGAACTATGGGCCATTCCATTCAGTGACAGGGGCAGTTATCAAAGACTATGAAGTGTTTATGGGGCTGGAGAGACATGAAGGAATATATTTATAATAGTTTGGTTAGTTAAATAAAAATTCCTTTGTACTATTTATGAGGAAATCATTATATTATGTTCAATATTTATTTTTATTTTAAATTAACTGTTTATAATTGTCCTTATTCTTAAGTCTTGGCTAATTCTTCCAAGGAAGACTTCTTATTATTTGCATTAGCACCTAGTCTAATTCTTTTAAAAAATTAGATGCTCACTTGTCCATTTCACCAGTTCATGAAGCAAGCTAAGTCTGTGGACATGCTTATTATGGCCCTAAGTAAACTTTAATAATGTCTAGAAAAATGTATTGTTTAACCAAAATCACCTTCTTATTTTCAGGTATTTTTGGCTGAATACACAGGACCTCTGTTAATATATTTCCTCTTTTATTTGAGGATCCCATATATATATGACATGAAAGAGAGCTCTAGAAGATTACGTCACCCAGTGGTACAGTAAGTAATACATATGTATGGTACATACAGATTAAGGAGGAGACAAACTATTACACAGACATTATGTTAATAAAGGTTGTTTTTAAACCCACTTAAAGTGGATTCAATTTTAGGGAAATATATTTTAGATAACCATAAATAATGTATATATGCCAACTTACAAGTTTATAAACAAGGAACTGTATTTTAATAATATTTAATACTTTATACCTTAAAGTAGACATCTTTTCAGTTAATGATCACAATTAACAAGATAAATCTGAAAATTTAGAAGTATCAAAAGAAACTTTAAATTACAAAATTGAGAGGAAATATATAGGGCTCTGAGTATAAATACTTCTCTAAAAACATGGGCAAAATTGCATAGGAGCATAGGAAAGAAATAATGACCAAACTAATACCCTGGGGAAAAATTTTACAATTTACCTTTAGTTAGTCAAAAGCCAAAATCAAATTTTAAAGTAAAGCATATAAAAAAGAAGACCAGGACAATTATCAAAGCAGAATATATAACTACCTTAGCATATTGTGAAAGTAATCTGTCTGTCTATCTGTCTCTCTCTCCTTTTCTGTATACAAAATTAAAGAGAAAGAATAATTATTCAAGATGCTACATTGAGACGTAGTTCATGATTTGTTTAAAAAATAGGAACATGATCAAATGACTAAACTCTAAGTGAATTAAGAAAAATTGATGTCATAGTGATACTAGAAGATAGAGAACAATTTGACTCACAGATTTCTCATCTTGAATTAATCTTCCCTTTACTCTTTTTCTTTTTAAATGAAATATAGTCAGTTACAGTGTGTCAGTTTCTGGTGTACATCATAATATCCCAGTCAGGCATATATACATGTATTCGTTTCCATATTCTTTTTCATTAAAGTTATTACACAATATTGAGTATAGTTCCCTGTGTTATACAGAAGAAATTTATTTTTTATCTATTTTTATATATAATGGTTAATATTTACAAATCTCAAACTCCAAAATTTATCCCTTCCCACCAGCTTTCCCCTGATAACCATAAGATTGTTTACTATGTCTGCAAGTCTGTTTCTGTTTTGTAGGTGAGTTCTGTACTGCAGCCAAAATGACTACTTTTCATATCCTGGTAACTACTATGTCCCCTTTCCCACAAGGGCACTTACATGTGCCATCCCTCTCCCTCCATCCTCATTACTCTCCTCTTCCTTATCTCTTGTTCATGTTTAAAATAAAGCTCAATATTTCTTATTCAGGGCAGCCATTTCTATTCCGTCCATGAGAATTACGCTCCTACATTGTTTTTCTTTTATACAATTTACTGCCTTAAATTTATATATTTACATAGACATTTGTGCTTTTCCTCTGAAGAGCTTAAGTTATATAATGGATGTCTTTTGAAGTTTAGTCAATTTCTGCTGCATATCACATTACCTAATTCAAAAAAATACTCAATAATAATGTTTTGAATGAATAGATACACCAACCAATTACATACAAATTTATTTTACATTGGGCACTTCTAAGAGTGTGAAAAGAGAGGAATCTGATGGTGATAGGAGTTCTGAAATGGCTTTTTCTATGAACGTTGTGTTTAAATTTTTGTTTTTTGAAGGGGTACATCAGATTTTAACTAGTAAATTTTATAACTTTCTTTATAACAAAATTGGTGCATATTAATGGAAATACATTTTTCTTTAGTACAAACAGGAAAATATACTTCCATAAATCACATTTGACATTTACTTTTAAAATAATAGTTACATAAATGACAAGAAAGAGGTGATAAGAACAACAGCAACAAAAACAAATACACAAAGAGACACACAAAATATTGCAATATGTTAGGTAGCCAAAAATCAAACATAAAACAAGCTAAACAAAACCTGCATTGACTCTGTAGGAAATGAACCTCAAACTTTTTCAATTTATGGGACTTGCTAAAGGACAACCAGACAATGAAAAAGTTATCTGGAATATTATAAAATGTCAAATGCATTTTAAGTAGGTTTTGGATACTTTTAAAAGCTGTGAATTTTTTGCTTCAATCTTGAGGCATTTTGATAGAAGCACATTTGCAATTATATATATAAATGTGTATATGTATGTGTGTATATATATATATATATATATATACACACACACACACACAGGGGGGCAGGTGTGAACATACAGTTTATAACTGGTATTATAAAATATCTTGAGTGACATCAGAAGTAAATTTATAGAGGCTATTGTAACAGTCTTTTTATTTATAAATAAATACGGAAAATTTTGAGAATAAAATTATTGAAACAAATACCTACGTATTAGTCATCAGAAATAATATTTTTGATAAGCAGACTATTATAGAAAAATAAACATCTAATGCATACGGCAAGCCAGATTTTTTGGAAGGAAATTTAATGTGTTTATGTTTTATTTTCTTTCTAGCTTGGCCTGCTTCTGTCATTGTTTACATTATATCAGATACCTTTTGGAAACCTTATTTGTTCACAAGGTTTCTGCAGGACATACACCTTTGAAAAATTTGATAAAGGTGGGAATTAATATGTTATGTAATTATAATTATTATTGAGAAATTTATGCATTGGATAATCTTCAAAGTAATTTAATCATGTTTATTTCTCTTGCCTAGATTTTTCTGTTCAACCCTATTGGCATATCTTAAGCATTCTGCCCCTAAAATATCATTTTCTAGGTGATCAAGTTCATTGGAGCTGCCCTCAACCAAAAAACCTACATAAAAGATTTGCCATGACTTTATGTTACAAGCTACATACTTTTAGACACCTTCAATTTTGGAAATACTTAGCACTGAATTCAGACCAAGTGCCACTTGAAGAGGAGGAATCTCGTATATAACTCTCCTATAAATATACGCATGTGTGATTAAAATGATGGTACTACACCCTATCTTTATGATTGTCATCAATGTATTGACATTGCTTTTGCTCTTCCAAAAACTGATGACTGCAAGAGTTATTAACCATCATACAACTCTCAAGAAAATGGGAAATTTTCTGAAGCATTGAAGTGGAAATGTACATTAGATAACATGTTGCAATTCAAATTAAAATTTATTTTAATCTATTTTCCAATATAAAATTTAGTATCAAAAGGAGTTATGTCTTTACTAAAATCTTCCTGGATTTTTGCAAAAATCTGTTTTCTAAAAATTTCAACAAAGCACACATTCTATTGTAATTGTAATGAACTCTTAGAAACCTCAAAATCATTTAGTCTAGCTTCTCTTTGGACAGAAGTTATTAAAATTGATCATATTAAAACAGGCCATTTCTTCTTTATAATTGATCAGGCAACATTATTACTAATGATTAGATAATTCATTCTTTCATTCTTTACTGTTGGAAATGGCTATTGGTATACCTTTTGTGAGATATTATTTATTATTTTTATTATTTCCCTTATATTTATTACTTGATAGAAAAAATATTCTTGAAAAATCTTTCTAAAATACATCATTATATTTACCTATTTCCTAAATACCTTCTTATATTAACAAGGTCCCAGCAAAGAAATGCATTTTCTTAGTGATATCAAATAAGTGTGTGTGTGTGTGTGTGTGTGTGTATATATATACCCTCTAATTTTTATTTTGTTTTATTTGTAGAGTTGTGCCTTTTATTGGGGATTCACTTCTTGGATTGCCTACTACATTAATCACCCACAGTATACACCACCATGTATGTAGAATTTCTTCTTATCTAACCCCATCCTAAATTGCCAATATTAAAACTCTGCTCTAAACTACATAGAAATGATGAACAACATGGCACACATTAAGGACTGTGAAGACAGGAAGATTTCCACTCTATCATAATGAAAAAATGCAAAAGATCTTCTTTTAAACTCAAAAACTTTCACTTATTGCTTTAGTATGTGGTTTAACATGTGTTTGCAAATGTTATAATACACTGGTTTCAAGAGATTCTGTTTTAATGATAAAAAATGAAAAAATGCCAATTTTAAACTGCTTTCACACATACTCTATTAAATTTTTATGTAGGTTTAAAAGACCAAATTTGATTGATATATTTTGATTTGTTTTCCTTCCATAGAAACTCTAGCAAAAAAAATACAAGTTGATTATAAACCTCCAAAATGATGGAGAGTAAAATGAAGGGGTAAAGATGAAAAAGAAACATTCTATGTAATCACATAATCATGTGCAATCAAATATCAGGGACTTAAAAATAAGTAAATAATGTATTCTTTTAAGTATAACTCAAAAAGAAAAAAAGAGAGGCATTTTTTATGTGACATATTGTTTCCTATTTATAACTGTATCAAATGTCTTGGCCCTTGACTCAGATGAAGTAATTTAGTGAAATAGACACTGGATCAAACTTAAATCCTCAGTTTCTAATCTTGTGGGGAAAATATTTACCCTGATAAAAAACTTCCACTTCTTTTATATACTGTGGACTTTTCTCTCTTCAGCTTTTACTGCAGCCCACAAGCCACACACGGTAGAGCCCTAGTGTTACGTGTTGAAATTTCATGTTTAATTAGCAGTTATTTTTGTGGTTTATTTCTAGTTTATAAAGTTTGAAATAAATGGATATAAAGGATGTATTCAGGTTGTATTTTGGATTTTATGAAATAATTAAACCTTAAAGATATTAAAATAAATTAGTATCTTCGCTTGAAGCACTGATACAGAGGATTAAATTTTTCAGGGTCTTTCTTTTCCAAGATCAGCAAATCTAGTTCAGCAATCAGAGTAAATGATAGCAATGTTCAAAATTTTAACTCTTCTATATACTAACAAACTTAACTATGAATACTGAGGATAATATCCATGATTTCACAAACTCCATCTGATTTTTAAAATATTTTATCAGATGTACTTACTCACTTTAGAACATTAATAGTAAAATTTTAAAAAGTGGTATTTTTGATCCATAGTATGTTTAAGAAGAGAAGCCTCTGAAAAATGCTACATTCATATATCTGACACAAAATAATAGAGATTGATTGTGTTAATCATATGCAAAATATTTTTGGAAAACATTTGTCAAAGACTACAGAATTGCTATTTATTTTGTAATGAGAAACATTATTATGTAAGTGTTAATATTTCCCATTATGTATTAGGAAAATAAGGTCCTAAAAGGTTAATTTTACTTTGTGCAAGATAAATGCATATGATATAAGCAGGACTCTAATTCTGTGAAAATACACAGAGCATTACAACACTGATTCCAAGTAGAGTGAATAGCATGTAATGGCATTCTGTGCTTTGCATGGCTCTGATATGCATGAATTTCAGTTTTTATGGTTTAGTTAAATAATATCAGCCCCCAAGACCATGCTGTAAATTTTAGTTACCACATATGTTAATTGCAACTGCATAAAGTACAAATTTTCCAACTAGCTCTTCAGTCCACATATCACTCTATAAATAATGGATGCACATCATGGTCTGTGACATTTGATGGTGGTTGGTAACTGCACATCTGTTATTCAGTTCACTCACAACCAGCAAATAACTGGAAAAGAACCTGCAGTTTGGACACAGAAAGCAGTAATCTGAACAAAAGGCTAGCCAATCCCCAATCAGCCAGACAGGTAGATTCTGGATAGACATTTTTATGGAGGAAAAAAATCACATCAATTTGACCTTTAGTTTTGATCTAAGCAGGAGAAGCTTCTGTATCTTAAATTGGTAGTTGTTTTAGTCAACCGTGGCTGTATAACAAAATACTACAGATTGAGTGGCTTAAACAAGAGGAATTTATTTCTCACAACTGTGGAGGCTGGGGAGTCTAAGATCAAGGTGCTGGCAGATTGGGTTCCCTGGTGCGTTCATACGGTAGAGACACAGATCGAGGAGGGAGAGGGAGATGGAGAGCACGAGCGAGCTCTCTGGCATTACTTCTCATATGGGCACTAATCCCTAAACTTAATTACTTTACCCCAAAAGCCCCATCTCTAAACATCATCATACTGAAGGTTATGGCTTTAACATCTGAATGTTGGGGGACACCATTCAGTCCATACCAACTTAATTAGCCCACATCGCAGGAAAATAATCGAATCCAACAAATCTAATTTGTTAGAAGATTATGACATTCGTTAGGTTTAATATTTTCTTAAGAATTTTACTTTCCTGTAGTAACACTACAAAAAAAACTTTCCTTGCATTCATTAACTCTGCCTAAGATTTTTAAAGATTGATTTTCCCCTTTTATAACTCTTTGATTTTAATTTATAGATTAAATATTTTAAAAATGGATCATATATTAGATTGTAAAAATTCAATGCTGTCCCTACAAAGTAGAAATAGTACAAACTACACTATCTTTAGATGAGATGAATTAAACCTTAAAACACAGTATCAAAAATTTTAAACACAAAGTTTGAAACTAGATACTTAAAAACCTATTCCCTAAATAACTATTGAATCTGAAATTTAAAAAAAATTAAGAAGATTGTGACAAAGTGACAAAAGAGTACAAATTAAACTTTTTCAGCTAAGTAGTTGTAATCTTATTAGTCAATCATATTTAAGGAAATGAAACAAACATACTAATTAAACAAGCTAGAAATTCCTTTATATTAAAACATTGTACTCCAATTGGGTGCTTCATTAAGTTCAGATACGTAGAGCTACAGAATAGCTGAGCCAACTTTTACATCTTTTCCCTTGAAAATTATCTTTAAAACCTGCATGCTTACAATGTAATCTTTCTCCATTTTACCTTCACAATCAGAAGAAATAAACAATGGTTTTATTTTTCATGTGTGTTTAATTCTTTCATCATTATTTTTATGTCCTTTCACTTTATGTATATATATTCTTTTGATTTACATACTCATCTTTAATTCAGGATATTTTTCTTTATTATAACTATGGTTACTAATTTTCTGTTCTTTTTTATGTTGTCATAATTTAAACTGTTATTCTGTGTCTTTTACATCAACTGGTCTTTTTTTTTTTTCACTTCTTTCTGTATCCTCTGTACGAATAGCTTCACCTTTTCTAAAACCCTACTCTCAAAAGATTTGACTGCATAAAATAAATAACATTTGCACAGATACATACACACTCTAAATACAAAAGAAAAAACCTTACTGGTATGTATTTCGGACACATATACCATTAGGGAGGTCATTTTTCATACTTCTTGAACAATGTTTAAAGGTAATTAAGAAAAATACATTATCACAATTGAACTGCCCAATAGCAGAAATATTCCATTAACCACAAACCAGAATGCATGTTTTCAGAAAACTTAATACACAAATGTTTAATATCAAAAATGGTCAAGGAAAAATGTCCTATTTTTTGCCTATCTAAATGTAGAATATACAAATTATAAAAATACTATAGAAAATTCTAATGGTGGCTAATTTTTTTCTAGAAAGTTTGTTTCAAATTATATTATCTGTAACTTTGGTTTTTTTCTGGAAATAAACATAAAAATATTATAAAGTTATACTGTGGCCCAGTACCTGCTTTTACCACATAATTTTTTTCATTAAAAAATGAAAACTAGGCATACCTTCACAGTTCTGATGCATGAAATGTTCTGAATCCCTCTCTTCTTTGTGTTAATATCTATTCTTTTTTTAGGTCAAAGCTCAGTCGTGTGCTCAGAGTCCTCTCTGATTTCCCTGATTACAACAAATCCTTCTTTTTAGCTTTTATATTAAATATTGCATAGATTCTTCCTAGTAACACTTATTAAAGCTGCAAACTTCCATTTGTTAGCATATGATGAGTATTTGTTTCCTTATCGGAAAGTAATTTCTATTAAGGTAAGGACTGCATTTGGTTCTGTTTATAATTAATTTATCACAAGTACACAGCCTGTCATATAAATTTCTAATAACTAGTGTTGAATGAATAAAGTTTAGCAGATACAAATTAAAAAAAAATTATGGTAGATAGGGATAGATATCATTTAATTATTATGATTTAGCTGGTGAAAAATGTTTAATTATGTGGCAAAATATGTATAACATAATATTAAGGAAATAGGTGATTAGAAAATTATTCTATCAAATATTGTAAAAAGTATATAACAAATATGTATATTTCCAAAGGGGAAAATCTGAATATTAACTAGTTTTTCATGGATGGTGGGATTTTTCATGCAGTTTATTTTCCCTTTGAACCTTTATCTCTTTCCCAAATTTCTTCATTAATGTATTTTATTTTATAATTATATACATGCACTTTATAAAAACAAAACTTCTAACACATGTATATGTTTTTAATATGTACTTCATACATATATCCATGTATTCATACTTATATAACTTTTAACTAAATTATACTTTAGAGTTTCTAACTCATGGAAATAGGACTTCAGTAAAAGATTAATACAGAAAGATGTTTGAAGCAGTACTGTCTACTACACATAAAATTAAAGTGACCCTAACTATGCAGCAATTGAATAAGTTAATGTTTTAAGAGCTAACCACATTGTGCATTATTATGAAGCAGATTCTATCATACCTTTGACAATAAATGTTCAATGAATTATGAAAACTCCTTGAATACGTGCCTACATAAAAAAATCCAAGATTCAAAGTGAGGCATTACATTAATTTTTATTTGTAGATGTGTTTATATAAATAAATACAATTTACATGTACACACACATAAAACTAGAAGAAATTCAACTGTTAATACAGATAATGAGCTTGTTAGATAATTCTATTTTTCATTAGTTTTGTATATACCAACTTCTCCACCATGAACAAGGTGAATTTAGAACCCGGTTTCAAATTCCATTTTGTCCATTATTATTTATATGATGTGGCAAACTACCTAAACTGTATTTTTCTTTACTGTAAGGTGAGAACAATGATACTTACTTCATATATTTGTTTTTATGAAGAAAAATTATAAAACACTAACATATTGCCTGTTGTAAAACATCAATGCAAAAATAAAAATTACTTATTAGCATTTTTCTTTTTACTGTTGAACATTAAAAGAGATATTGATTGTCATTATGTTAGGTCATACTAATGTGCTTTTTAAAGTGACAATGAGATAGATTAATAGGCCATCAAAGAGTTTAATAATACAAATTAATAATAGATTCCATTTATATCCTAAATATCATTAGTTTACTAGAAGAAAAATATTATGTGGAAAGCAAAAATATTACCATCTCTTTAGACTGCAAAAGTATCATCCCAAAAGGTTAATTATATATCACATAGTACTTTTGATTAGAGGGTAGTGATAGTCAGTAAGCCTTGCCTGAATTACATCTGTAGTATGCAATCCAAAAACTGAGTGTTTACCTAACATTTTCTTTTTCTGCTTTGTAGCATTTGGAAACAGGCAAGTCATAGTATCTACTATCAACTTTCTGGTACGTATTTATATTATTGGCTATTCATACTCTAATTGTAGCATTATTCAGAATTCAAACAGATTATATTTGAGGATTTGTCATGTAGAAAATTTATTTTATATCATATACATAATGGTATTAAATGAAATAAATCAAATAACTTCCTATAATCAAGTCATTAGTTCTCTAAATCTTTTAACCAAAATGTTCTATTCATCTATAAATGATGATTAGAATTATTTGAAATAGAGTAAATTTTGAAAAAATTAAACTCAGTAATTCTTATTATCTGCACATTTACCAACTTATGGACTTCTAAGTATAAAAAGTTTTACAAGTCTACCTGATGATCATCCAAAAACCACTTTGGTGTAATGTTGAGTAATTCTGGATGAAAACAAAGTCCATTTTTTTTTAATGAAATGGGGCTCTTTACTAATTGTTCTCAGTTCAGGTCTTTAGCTCATTCCATTTAACTTTACATACATATTGTTTGAATCTGATATAAATCAATCTGAGTACAACAGACTATTTATTATTTCTGAAATGCATTATTTTATTAGATAGATATTTGGCTTCATATACCACATAATTGCATGCTTTCATTCCTTATTCTTGTTTTTCCTCATTCCTACCCTTGAAAGATTAACTGCGCTATTCCTGCCTGTGGTACACTGATAAACTCTCATGATTCATGCACATGTCCAGATCCTTTGTAAAGTTTGTATTGAACAACTTATACCCCACCATTTTGTACAAGGCACAAATTATAACACTACACTTTATGAAAAGCTCTTGTATGAACCTGTATGCATGTACATATATACATAATTAATAATTTGGTTAATAACATCCACTACTGTGTTGGCTGTGAGAGGGGCAGGTTATGCTTTTATCTTTTTTACACCTAGTATCCTACAAAGTAGGAGCTTCCTACTTGCTTTAATGACACAAATTATTTTGTTTAGAATTTTTAAGCAAATATGTCATAAATATATCACCACCTTTTAATTTTCCATGTGTGTATACTGTTTATAGACAGCAATCGTACAATTTATTTATTTTGACGCCTTCATTGCTAATCTATATTGTTCCAAGCCTAATGTTTTCTGTATATTAACTGTTCAGTAAATTTGAGCAAATGGAAGAATGAACTAATGGATTAAAAAATAATAAACACATACTTGCTACTTATTCAGATACATTTTTAGATTAATGCCCAATTGTTTCTCACATTTTCCTTCTTTCCTATATTATATCCTACTTTTTTTTTTTTGCAACTTGTTGACTGTCATTTAGGTGATTATGTGCAAACTCAATTAACTCATTAGTGAAAGAAATTTACATAACACAATATTTGCATAATATATAATATTTACAATGACACTTGAAAATATTTACACAACTTCCATTTTATATAACAGTCTTGCTTTCCTCCTTTTCTCAAATGTGATATAGTTGTAAATCTATGGCT